CACACACACACACACACACACACAGGCACTGTGAGTATCACATGATCTTCATACAGTTACAGCAGTTATAGCAACAGAATATAATTCAGTGACAATGATGCTATTGACATAACGCTTAAGTTGAGAGTTAGTGACAGTCAATACAGAAACAATGAGAAACAGCTGCTGCTGCTCCCTGAAACACTCACACACACTTCTGTATTACATGCACAAACAATCTTCCCTGTAAAATGTATCTGTAATCATGTGTCCCAAAGACTACTCTCACATCTGTCTCTCTCCAGTGCCGTTTTATGCTTCCATATCATCTACCTCATTTCCCTTTCACCCCCCACATAAACTGGCACCCAGAGAGAACCCACTGCACCTCCAGCCTGCTCAGTCCCAGTTAACATGATCAACATCTCCACCACCAGGTCTGACTGGGCTCCTAGCTCGTGTCATCACAACTACTCAGCTTCATTTCCTCAATCTGCTGCAATGCCGATCATTAATTATGTGGTATAGAGCAAAAACCCCTCAGGCAGTTGTTTAAATTTTATTGTTTGCTAAATCTGGTGTGTAAAAGCTTGTGTGTGCTGTTTGTTTTCCTCAACAATGTCTTCACAAGAACTTTTAACATGTGTTCGTACTGTTTATGAGACATTGAGGTCTATTGCTGGAGTGGGTTAAATCCACGTTGGTACAGCTGGCATGTGGATTATAGGGGCCACCCCTACTCTCCCAACGAGAACTTATTGTACTGAGTTTCTCCCTTCATGTACTGCATTAACAGATCGTTAAATTTTTTCTCTAATTTCTAGAAGTAAAGCTTCTTATCTCTTGAGTGCTGATACAGTTTCTGTTTCCAAAACATAAACATCCATAGCCTAATCTTGACCTTATCATTGCTCTACAAGTTATTAACTTTGTGTCTTGGCCAGCATCCCCTGTACTTCCTGAGAGGGGCCACTTTACATTCATTAACCTTTCATATTTCGTTTCAGCTTCCTATATGTTGTTTCCCCATCTTTCCGATGCCTTTCATCAAAATGCATCCACAAGAATTTGACATATTTTTACTTCTCAATTGCATGTCCAGACATAAAAACACTGATATTCAGTTATCCAAACATAACATCCTTTTTTTATCTTCATACTGATGCCCCAATAATTATCAATCAATACATCAAATTTTATTGTATAGCCCATATTCACAAACCACAAATCACCTCATAGTATGACATCTGCTGTTAACAAACAAGAAAATAATAATAATAATAATAATATAAGTGCCAATGCATTGCATGGGGCTGGGGGCGGAGCTAATATTTAAACTCAAAACTCAAAAGTTTGATGATGTCATAAAACAACGTGGGATGAAGGGAACTGTTGTCTTCACCACCATTGCCAATGAAAATCTACACACAACTCAAATCAGATTAACAGGTGAGGTAATGTATCAAAGTTTTATTCACAGTAGGCAGCAAAATGTCTAACCAGCAGTGTTTTTTCTTCATCATACATTGTTTGCCCCAGAAGTTATAGAAGAGATAGGCAAAACCACAGGTAAAGCGGATATAATCCATTAAGGACGACCAAAGTAAAAAAATCGCATTATCATGAATAAAATGTATGATTTTTCTAGGTTTGAACAATGTTGGAATGATTTTGGATAATAAGTATACAAGTCAACAAAATATATAACATAGGTCTCCAGAAAATGTAATAAAAAATTGTCCTTAAGTCCTAAAATTGAGATTATTGAATTTTTTATTTGAAAGATTTGTTTCTGATCTGTAATTTCCCATTAATTGTTACCCGACATATATGCAAGTGCCATTATCTGTGAAAAGTTAACATCAGCCAATTATAATAGCAGGTTGCCTCATTAGCCTCCAGTTGCTATTGTGCATTGATTCAACTTTCTCCAGATCTGTTGCTTCCCCTTCAAATTTATGAATGTAGACAGTAGCCATTAACAAATAAGGTGTACCAAATGCAGTTTGAGTGAATTATACAGGAGAAACACTAATCAAATTGTTAGAGATGGATCTAAAATGAAATTGAAATAATTATACCATGCAGTTAATTGTACAAACTGTTCCCACAGTCACAGAGCTGAGTGAGACCACATACACTGCCTCTGCTGAAATGAGGAGGAACATTCACCCTAGTCTCCCCCACAGCTGCTCGAGGGCAGGGGGTAAAATCTGACATTAAAAAATGTATCTTCATGAGGTTTACACTTTCTCACATACGTCAGACGTTTGGCAAAATTTTGGTATGGAATTTTGGTTTGGAATAATCCAATTGGGATGGAATGCAGAGCAGAGAAGCAGATCACGTTGCTGCAGCAGTCTGAGAAGTTTGTATCGATTCCTGAAGACGACAGCTTAATCACTATCCCATTATAGAGGACCTGAAGCAAAATGACCAGAGCACACCATATACTTTTTATAGCAAATTCCTGAGTCTACATGAACATGATGATTAATAAAAGCTGTTTATTTAGGATGGTCAGGTTACTTTTTTCTGTAAATAGTCGCTATTAGTTATTGTCGGGTACATTTCAAGACGAATATTGCTGAGTGTCTTTTTGCATAAACCTGTTGAGCTGCTGTGTACCAATCTTTTGACAGAAGTCTGTTGATTGTCCTGCACCGTATGCTACTGCTGGAGCCGATCGTACCTAAGGTCACCTTAAACATAACCCATCACGAAGATGCAAACTTTCAAGAAATGTTTGGTAATTAAAAGAATTTTCAAAAACAGATGTATGCGGATTAAAAGAAAGAAAGTTCTGACTAAAGATCAGCTTTTAGGGAAACTGTGTTGGCCTGTCAGTTTACACCGACTTGTTTTCACTCTTACAGTAGAGCAATGTTGGGTGAGCTCCAAGCTTCAACAACTTCAATGTTTAGTGCCAGCCACACATTAGGAAGGCAGCTCTGCATCCTGACAACCAAATAACTTATGGACCATGCTATGCATATATACTGTCATTTATCTCAATTACATGTGCGTGTTTGGCTTGTCTATTGGGTCACATGCAGCATAACTCACTCGATAGCTTTTTCGCAATACGTCTTAATAATGTAACATTTGTATTGCGTGCAGATATTTGTGCTTGTATGCACCTGAGGTTTCAACAATTCCAAGCAGTTAAAGATTACAGCTGCCTCTGTGGAAAAGCCACAGGAATGGAGGAAAGGATGTCCCCGCCCTCTCTGTGCCCTCTATATCCTCGCTGAATGTAGGGTGTTCCCATGTTTCCATTTTTCTCGCCTTGGATTACTGTGTGTGAATGTGTTCCACCTGTTTTCCCACTTTTATGCATGAATTGTGAGAAGAAAAGGAAAGGCCAGATTTTATTTTCATTGTTTCTATTCGCATGTCACATGATCTCCACATGTCTGCACATATAGTTTATTTTTGTTTCACAGAGATGACTGAAGCATTTTGTTGTTGGCTACCATGCATCAGCTATCTTGGATTGAGTCAGCAAACCTTTTTTTTTTAATAAAAGATATTGCCTACAATATTGCTGTGCATCTACTGATACTGCCCCCTAGGAAAACTCTATCATGATAAACTAACCCAAAATGGGGTTAAATTAACCGTCTACAAATGTGGACACTGTGCAGGAAAAGCCTTGCATTGATAGATTTAATCAAGAGTCTGCAGGCCAGCTCTTCTGTCCGTTTGTTGCCACTTTCTAAAAATCATGTCTTTTTCCTCAAATTGTATCATTACATGGCCTAATATTTGTCCCTTCAATAATCTACAGCAAAACTGTCCCACAACCACGAGAGACCCATTCACTGACTTGGCTCACCCTGTTGGGTGCTTGGAAACAGTAGGCTTCTTTGTCCGGCTCTAATCACTTCCACAGTCCACCCAAAAACAAAAGAAACCAATGCCCAAAACAATGAGCTGACAGTCAAAAACAAATGTGGATGGAGGGTCACAAACCTGAGCAATAAAGAGTCTTGGAATCAGGAAATGGCCACAAATTTTCACACAATCAAATACTCTATATGTAGAGAGGAACAGGCTCGAGTCATACCTTATCGTTGAGCCGGGAGAAGTCTGCGTACCTTCTAAAAACAACCCAGCTCTCATCTGGAGTCTTCCTGACCAGGATCTTGTAAACCTACAGCAGGGAAAAGACAACACAATCACACAAACTGATGGACAAACTTGATTAACTTGTGCCAAACCAATCACAACCAATTTTCACAAAAAAACAACATACTAATATAATAAAGACTTAACAGAGGAAAGTCTTATCGTCTCCTTTGCTGAAGTAATAAATAAGGAGCATTCAAGGAGTTCACTGACGTGTTGTAATACAGTTTAAATGTTTTCTATTCTCCCCTTTTCTAAGATAGCTGACAATGACCGAAAGTGCAAATTTACTTGTTCCTTTGTGCTTTTGCGAAGTGTTTAAAACTGTAAAAAAGTGTTTGAAAATGATTTGTTTGTATCCAAATAACAAATGTCTGTGTGCTGAGCCTTAGGCTTTAATATCTAATATACATCGTGAGAATGTTTGTCAATCCCAGTTAATAAAGTGTCCTCTTGTTACTATAGCTCTAGGCAGACATACAGTACATGTGTTCACATGCTGCCAACCTACAGGTCATTATATGCTAAATGACATAGCTTTTAATTTGAAATCAGATGTGTCATATGATGTAAAAACACAAAGTCCAAAAGACTGTTAGGAAACAACTTTAACTGATTTTTCTGGTTTCATACCGTGAATTTGGCCCTCTCCTCCATGACTTCATACCCCAGCACAGTGGGGGTGATGGGTCTCTCTTCGTCTTGCTGGCTCCCAGCTGGATCTGATATGGAGCGGGGGCAACTGGAGAACTCTACAGAGGCCTCCAGAGTCCCATTAATCCTGGCCCGTGTCACAGGGCTCTGGAGAGGCGGCGGCGTCTGGCTGCGGACGCCCTGGTCCATGCAGCGGGATTGGCGCTGTGAACCCAATCCTCTTCCGGGGTCTTCCAAGCTGCTGGAGACGCTGCCAAGTGACGAAGCTCGCTGTGGCCGTCTCAGCTTGGTCCTACCACCTGACAAGGCTCTGTCCATGGGCACAGGGACAGGCACAAAAGGCGAGGCCATCTTCCTGAGCTCTGCACTCCTGCCCCGCCACCGCAGTTGTCAACAAAGGGTTTCCACTCAGACACTGACCTTGCTTTGCTTCAGCTGTGGTGTGTGATGATGGAGTGAAGCAGTAAAGCTCTCCCTGGGGGGTTGACTCTAAACATCCTGCAAAAAAGAATAATTAGAGGTCTACTTCTGTTAACTTTTACTAGAATTTAATAGACTGCATACCGAATTCCCTGAAACGTACATACAATGCACAATCATTACCCTAAAATAAGATAAGTCTAATTATGAGGAACTTTGCCATGTTACAGCAGCAAATGAGTGAAAGTAATAATAACTGAACAAATTTAAATCAGGCGATATAACAAATAGCAATGCTTCATACAATGTAAACAGAATATATATATATATATATATATATATATATACACACAATGTGAATAGTGTGAATAATGTGAATAGGATGAATAGGATGATGAGATATTAAAATTGCACAGACAGAGAATGAGTATTGCAGTTACACATGAGTGGATTTGTAGTGCAAAATTAAGGCTACCAGACTGTGAGGGCAGATGAATTATTGACATAAGCCACATGTCATTCTTAATTTATGGATTCATACACTGTGTAAAATCCAATATGGAAAAAGCCTGTAAACATCTGTATATAATGAGTCAAATCTTGTTAATTAGCTCTTCATCCACCTCTCTGCGCCCTGGTGAATGCTGGTCGTATGAACCATTATGCTTAGATTTGAGGAAAAGGAACCTGCATGTTTAGTTTTCATGGTAGACTGAAGCCTGAAATCAATTCCCGCTCAGACTAAGAGGCTGAGAGCTACCTGTCAACCATGGGCACATTAGTTCAGCATCAGTGGAGCTGAGGGAAACCAGCACTCCTCTGTGAGACTAGATATGTCAATGTAATTCAAATTTTATTTGTATAGCCCAAATTCACAAAACGCATTTTGCCTCAGAGGGCTTTACAATCTGTACAGGAAGTGACACCCTCTGTCCTTAGACCCTCGGTTCGAGTGAGGATATGAAAACGATAACAACATGTTGATGACTTGCACTGACTAATGGGGCTTTAGAATTGTTCAAGAAGCATGTGATTACAAAGAGGATGACAGAGTTAATACAGGGAGGTGACACATCATTAGAGCTCTCTTACTTCAGACTGCTATTTATGTGCTGCTGCAGCACATGACTCCAGAGCTGGGACCAGAGCCAGCATAACAACACGCTGGCTGCCTAATGGTTTAGCAAGGAAGCTAACTGCGATCCAACGGAGCAGTGCTAACTCCATTCACAAAATGTCACATTGTAGTCAGGATCAGGGCTCCTTTGCTTTTCGAATGGCAGCGACGACAACTGAGAGTTTGAGGTAGCAACACTCATGAGGAGGTGTTAGAGTAAAAACTGCACATGGAGTTCAACACTTTGTGTAGAAATTCACAGACACAGCTACAATCGAAATGCCTCCCTTGTTACAGCTGCTTGTCAGTCACAACAGCCCAAACAAAGTAGGCAAACTAAAATATTGTTAAAATAAAAGGTGTTTATTATATCATATTCCGTCCGAATAGAGCAGCGAGTCCCAGCAGCTCGTAAAATGGCTTCTGATTTGTATATCTCAGGTAATGTACCAATACTAAACATGGTAACACGTAAACAACACATTTTTGAACGGCGTTTGGCGTCTGTCCCACTCAACGAGACCCCGGGCTAACGGCTATCACTTCAAGCTCACGTTAGCTAACACAGCTAGGAGCCCAGGAAGCTAACAGGACGCGTGTTGACATGGACTTTCTCTTACCGTAGGAAAACTGAATCCTTCCCCTTCATAAAACGGGTTTAGTTCACACATGGAGTCTATCGTGTGATTGTCTGGTTGCTGTTTGTCCGCGGCGCCATCTCCTCCCCGGTGCTGCTCATGTTAGCCTGCTGCTGTTAACAGCGCAGCGGCAGCAGTGCCTGGAGACGACCAGGCGAGGGCGCTGTAATACACCGTGATAATGCTGCTCCGGGTGAGAGAAAGTAGAGCCACAAACTGTCCTTTAGATTTCACTGCATCAGATTTTGCACTCAAACATGTATGAAACTATTTATATGTAGTTGTTCAAATACATCTATGGTTTCACTTAATGTTCGTTTTCATCGTCCTGCTATCTGAACCCATGCACACAGATATAAATGCTGCAGAATGAGAAGCAGCACTGATGGGAGGAAAGGATGTTCCAGCGATGCAAATAACACTAAACATATGGTAAATGTATAAGTACATATTTACAGTACATTTTTACTTTTAGCCTCAGTGTACCCCTCAGGATCGGCCTGCATCGGTGATTACAAGGCCGACATTTTTTTTTACTGTTTCTATGTGCACACATGTCCTAAGAAATTAAAATTTGTTCCACAGTATGTTTTACACACACGGCTGGAATGACAAAAAAAAAACTTTAAACTTGATCTAGTGGCAACAATTGTCTCCAACTAAAACATCCACCATTTAGGTTTAGTTATCAATGTAAAATCAGTTTTACTGGTCAGAACATCTTTAACCCCAGAGAGTAAAGTCAGACTTTGTGTTGGTTGATTCCTGTGTAACCCTGCAATTTCTAATCCTTCTGTGGCCAAACTTACTGTTAGTATTTCAAACCAAGAAAACTCGTACAACCTGTTCTCATACTAAAGCCAAATAAACTGATCCTTCTTTGAGTCAACAAAAAACCACAAATGCTCTGCGTACACAGACAAAACAAATTAACCATTCAAGCTGGTTCCAGCCTCAACGCTTTATATTCCTCACAGAAGCCAAGAGGCAGAAATTACAAAACAATACATGACCAATAATAGTAATTTTTTAAGTTTCAGTCATGTTGCATCTGAACCACTGATCTTTTTCTCTAATGGCAAACATGTAGCACTCAGACCGTGTCTTACTGTACCAATTGCACTGTTTTACCTGCCACACCTTTCGTATTGCACCTTTTGGCATCTTACACTGTTTATTTTCTTTCTTCTTTGTTTATATAAAAAAAATTTACATTTAGATTTTTCTTCTTGATTTTTGATCTGATTATATAAAAGTCAGATAAATGCTGCTGTAACAAGAAGAGCTGTTAAAACAAGTTTTCACTGTTTTAATGTTGGTGACAATGTTGAACATTGACAATAAAGGATTCTGTTTCTGATAAAGTCGGCATCCGAGTACAGTTTCAAAGCACCATATACAGTATGACATCAAGACACCAGTCAGTGTGTAGGAGTAAGTGACATATGGACTACCTCTCCCATCATCCTTCCCTCTCCAAGTGTGATGGAGAACCCATGTGACCTTCAGGTAACATAAAGACCTTACAGAGCTGGTTTGGTGGCTAATGTAGAAACATCTTATCTTATTTTCAAAAAGGCAATTATTGTTAGTTTCAGGTGAATATACACTAATAAAAACATCACTATGATCATTGTATTGCATTTCTGCTGATAACTCCCCACATCATACCTTTAACAGATACATCTAAAACAATAGTTCACTAAAACAGAATATATTAAGCTTTTACACATGTATCAAAACAGAATAAAAATGAGTGAAGTGTTCATAGTCTTATGCAATCCACCTGCTACACTGAGATGGCTTGGCTGTTAGGCAGCCTGATAGCCTGTGTTGGGACTGTGGAGATTTGGCTCTGTGTTTGGTCCGTTTACCATGAGTAAGATGGAATATATTCGTGTGTGTGTTTCCTTGCCCCTGCTTTGCTTTTTCTCCCCTCAGTGTGTTACCTGGATGAGCGTGCCTGCCCCTCCCCACCAATCACTCCACACTCCAAATCTGCATCATTCACAATCAATGACTCACCATCTGCAGAATCTGGCCTCTGCCTTGATCCCTTTGCCAGAATGTACAATAGGATCACCCATGCTTACCTGCTCAGGCACGCTCAGCCAGCGCCCTCGTCCACAATCACTCTGCCCTGCTCCCCAGGATTCACCCACACTGGCTCATTGTTCCGTTACCTGGACTCTAGATTTGTTGCCTATTTCCCCAGCACTTTGGTTTGATAGTTTAGAGACTGTTGTGTTTACTCACATTATTTGCATTTCCACCTGTAAATACACTGTTCATTCATATAATAAATATCATTGCTGAATTGTACTATGTGTTTGAGAGTCCACAACCCTTTGCGAGTCTGTGGGAGAAACCTCCCGCTTGTAGAGAGGCTGTGAGGGTTCCCTGTCAATCCCCTCTGTAGAAGCCGGTTCCAGTGAAGCTCTTCAACAGAGGGGAGGAAAATTTAGATTTTCCCAGCTCCACATATTACTTTCTGCAGCTTCAGGTATTGTATGTTTGTAGAAACCTGATTACACAAGAACTACAGGATGGATGACCATGAAACTCACTGGAAAGATGTGGTGTGGGTCAGGGAAGATCCTATTAAATTCGGCTGTGTATCTGGATCTGATTTATTTAACATTTTAAGCATTCTTGACATTTTCACTGAAATCAGGTAGGGGAGTAATATCTACACATATGTGCAATTTGGTGCAGCTCGATTGAATTTAAATGTACTATTTGGCCTTGATGGAAGTACATGCTCTCCTGACGTAAACGTTAGTGAAAGTTAAGATGTTGTTTGTTTTGTTTTACTGAAAAAGTGCGATCTCTGCTGAGCCTGTTTGATCTTTATATACAGTCTATGGTTTGACCTGATCGTGCCCGTGGACCATGTGAGTGAATCTGATATCTTCACTCCAAGGGGAACTTAATGATCTCATGCTCCGCTGCAGAGCCACTGATACCGATGGGTGTGTGCTGAAACTGCGTCACATTGCACAGATTCATAGTGCGCAATGTTTCTATATGTATGTTTCTGAGAATTACTGCTCAGTCAGCTGTTGATTGCACTTCACCTTTACATCCACCCATGCATCTATTCACCCATGCATATATACATAGCTTTTCTGTCTCACTTAATTAGTTCAGGGACGTCTTATCTCAGAGGCATCTCCGCACCAAACCCATTGGCACAAGGCGATGGGTGTGATTTCTCTCGACATGTTCTCAGGCGGCAGCCGACTCCTTGAGTTTGGGTGTGTCAGCCTATAACATGACAGAGAGCTGACTCAAACAGAACAGTCGCTGCTGTAACTGAGAGCTTACGGATCGCTTGGTGACTTGAAGAACAGTGTCTGTGAGTAAATACAGGATCTTGTCTTATTGTATGATTTCCATAAGAGAGATAAAAGAGATCAATCAGAGAGTTGATAGAGTTAACAACTGTTTCATGTGATTTCATGTGCTGGAGATGTAAGAGAAAACAGCAATGAGGAAGAGAATCCCAAAGATTTGCCCTGCAGGATGCTCAACTTTTAAAACAATATATATACAGTATTTAACAGATGGCAGATGAAACCAAGAGGCCGAAGACTTGAATTCCATGGCGACAATGTTAAAGTAGCAGCGTCTCTATAACACTTTATTATTCTCAATAAAATGTGTCTCATAAAAGAGACTGAGGTCTGTGCCACCATAACTCTCTGACATACACATCATTTACCATCACCATGTGTTGCCTTGGTGTGCAAGATCAGCATGGACTGTGGCGCTGCAAACAAACTGATCACCATGCCACCATTTGGAAGGCAGTGTGGACGAGTCCTCTGAGCAGGTCATCAGGCTACTGAACCATAACATTTATATTTTGTATTCCTTATCTCTATCAATTTCATTGTATTTATCTTTATTCTCTGCATTAAAATCTTATTGTTTCCAATTTAATATCATATTGTTTTTTAATTACCTCCACAAAGGAGGCTATGTTTGTATTACAGTTTGTCTTACTGTGAGTGGGATTACTCAAATAATTACCAATTTTATCAAAACCTGGCGGAGGGGTGGGGCATGGGCTAATGGAGAACCCATTAACTTTTGAATTGGATTTGACTAAGGATTGTACCAGGATTGAGTTTTTTTCACTTTCTTCAACATTGAAAGAGAGAGCATTTTTCAACAAGAAATATTGCAGAGATCTTTATGAAAAACTCAGGCATCTGTGCAGTGCTGATACATATGAACATTTTGGTGCAGATCTGGATAGTTATTCAGATTTTGTGAATCAAAAGAAATCATTTTTGGGGTTGATCTTTATTCAGTTACTAAGGTAACAAAGAGAGCAAGAAACCTTTGACATGTTTACAGTATGAGTCTGCAAATATCAGTTTTTCAGTGTTTCATAAACTATTCTCCTTGATTTTGAAGTTTACTTGTTTGATCTTTTGGTAAAGTAATCTCCTTTAATGTGTAATTCAGCACAAATGGCATTGTTGGTTGAAGGGATTGGAGTAACATTCTTCTTTCTTTTCATGTTTAACATAATCAGGGGGACAGCATTTTGGCCCACTGTTTGTGGGAGCACAACTTATAAAGTCAATCTTTAATTCTGGGATTAACGTCTTGTCGCCGTCTTTCTTTGTAGACACAATGGCATCATCAGCCCCTCTGTCCAAGGCCAACACCAGCTTCTGTCTGGATCTGTTCAAACAGCTGAGTGACAACGACAAGACWGCAAATGTCTTCTTCTCTCCTTTTAGCATCTCCTCAGCCCTGGCTATGGTGATGCTGGGGGCCAGAGGCAACACACAGACACAGATGTCAGAGGTACAGCATGCACACACACACACACACAAACATAAAATTAATTGCACAGACATAACTGTTGTTGGAGACATTGCGCTGTCACAGCAAGGTAGTGGATCTGGTTCATGTTACATCTTGAATTTGGATTTGGATTGGAGAAAAGGTGTGGATTCAGATTGCAAGCTCTGTCATGTTCACAGGGTACTGGTTGTGTAGTCAACTAAAACTATTACAGAAAGAAAAGGTCTCTAGACATTCATTTCTAGTTTATGTTAAACCAATGGACACATCAAATTTGACACAAATGTTGAACAGCAGTGTGTACAGAGGCAGTTTTAACTATGAACATGGAATCTTGATATAAGTAGTAAAGTAAATGACATGATCCTCGGCTTAATTTCAATGGCGGAAAGTAATGAATACATTTCATCAAGTACTGTTCTTTATGAGTAAATGTTTTCAGCTACCATACACATTTTCCTTTATATTAATTCAATTATAATGATTGAATTGCATAGTACATAGTATAAATTCACAGATGCCACTTATTGTTGTCAATATGCTTATGCTGTGGGATTATTTGTTGAATTGGTGCTTAAGTAAGTAAAAAATCTGAATACCTGTGTGTTGTTTCAGTAACGTTGGATCTAAAACACAAACTTTCCATCATACATAGCTATAATCATTCTATCCAGATAGGAATATGAATTACATTTGATCGATTGGATAACACTGCACTCGTAGCGAGCAGATTTGGATTGATCATCTGTTGTAAACAAAGTGTGGATTTACTTCCAACTGTCAGACATAGTGGCCTTTCAGATGTGAGATTGATGGATGCAGCTGAACTGCACAGAGCAGAAAGGCTTCACTTGTAATGGGTGTGGGCAGTGTCTGAGTAACATTCTGATTTAGTAGGTGTAAGAGTTGTCAGTTGAAATGAAGAAAATATATCTCTGTGCATGCATGTCTTTGCTTGTATGTGTGATTGTAACAGTCGGTTGCAGAGGGATTTCCTTTCTCTGGATACACACACACACACACACACACACACACACACACACACACACACACACTCACACAATGTTGAAATTGAGATCCTGACGTTAACAGAAACTACCATTTGCACCTCAAGGTCCTCTGCTTCATCGAGACCCTGAAACCAAACCAGGCAAACTTTCGAGAGGATTCACCAATGCAGTCACAGATGCAGACACGCCTTCAGTTCCAGACGCAGTTACAGCAGCAGTCCAGACTGCCAAACTATCTGCGCAACATGGTAACAAATCCAGCATGCAAGGGATGATTAACAATGGGGGGATATTTTGCACATAATTTCCCACTGCATTGCTAATTTACAATCTTTTGCAAGTACAACAGTACAAGTGCAACTAACTAAGCAGATGTGTGCAACAGATGGAAAATTCAGTGTCCTCACAGTCAACCAAAGCAAAGCTTTAGATCTCTCTGGTCCTCTTTGGTCCACGCTGATGATGGGTAAACAGTGGGTAATTGAGTGTGGAAATACTTTGTTCAAACATGTTTTATATTAATACTTCTGTTTGGTCTGTTTTTGCCTTTTCCACATTCTCTCCTAAAGGTGCTGGGGGTGTCATAAAGAGGATTTAAACTAAAGAAAACCTTGTGAATCTCTGGGGTCAAAGGTCAAATGATGAGAGCACTGACACCAAAATCAACCTGTTTCAGAATCATTTGACGTTAATTCATGCCGGCACATAGAAACTAAGTGTAAATGTGATTCTGGCTGATTCATGGTGCATGAGCAAGAAGATTTTTTACTCCATTCTCATCATTTAACAGGAGAACAATGATCTGCATTCACTTAACACATGCTTTTCTTTCACCTGTTGCTGTCTCAGTGTGTTTGTGTAACACGCAGGTCTTCTCTGGCTGTTTGCAGTGCATGAAGCCCCAGGATGGTCAGGACGACGTCCACACCAGCTTCAACCAGCTGCTGAGCACACTCAATGTGCCAGACATTCAGTTTACCCTCAGCATTGCTAACAGACTGTACGGAGAGCAGTCCTACCAGTTTGTTAAGGTACGTGGCAATGCATTTATTCAGTGAGGGCATAATCTGCAGTCCTAGAATTTGGTGTTAGAATAAAATGTCAGCCACTCCTCACTGTGTTAATTGAAAGAGGAAAGAGTTTATAGAACTGGCATTCATGTCTGCTTTGGCAGAGTTTCATTGATTATGGAACGTACAGTACTTATGTGCTGTGAATATTAAACACCCAAAGAAAACATTGTACAGCTGTTTCCACAGACCACACATATTGAAAAAACTGACCTGGATAAAACCCTTACGTCCAGCAGCAATGAAAAAGTGCTAACTGTAGCAGTTTGTCAGTCATATTGTGACTGAGTGTTTAACAGAACTGTTGTCTGTGAGAATTCAAATGAGCTGCTTATGATTCCAGGACTTTTTAGAGGAAACCAGGAAGCACTACGAGGCTGAGCTGGAGTCTGTGGACTTCCAAACCAGCTCAGAGGAGGCCAGGGTCAATATCAACAGCTGGGTGGAGGAGCAGACACAAGGTATGCGTCAGAACCTGTTAAACAAATTTTGAAACATCCCTTTCACTCACGCAGCCACTCCTTTACTTCTACTTGTTTTATAGTAGACTATAATTTAATCTCACTGTTAATAACCAAACAGTCACAAAGCAAAGTCCAATACATTTCTCCCACAGATTTATTTTGCAGGTTTACAACTACATAGTAAACTCTGCATCATTTGTGAAATTCACCTGACCCGAATTCCAGCCCATATTCCATATATACAATACAATAAGTGTGCTGGAGATATTGCCACCAGGCAACATTTGTGTTTTGAATTTTATGGCTTATGTGGGGTTAGCTCATTAACATAAAGTATGAGGTCTACCAATTAGGCCTCTTCTGTGGCTCCTATGTCTTAGACGGAAAAAACAAAACTGTGAATCTGGCACAACCTGCTGGAGGAAATTTAAAAAACACATTGAACACGGGTTTGTGCATTTTTAATGTTGGTCATTTTGAGGATAGATGAGGAGGTAAAACAACGATGATGGTGGTTTTGCTTTTTACTGTTCATCAGGTAAAATCAAGGACCTGCTGGCCAAGGATGTAGTGGACAGCGCGACTGTGCTGGTGCTGATCAATGCCATCTACTTTAAAGGCAGCTGGGACAAACGGTTCGAGGTGGATTCTACTGTTGATGCTGCGTTTAGAATAAACAAGGTAACGCTGGAGTTTGTAAAATGATGTTGTGTGATAGTGCACAGTTGACCTGAGCACTGTAGCTGACAAGGTATTCTGATGGTAGACCATGAAAAAAGTCTTTGAAACAAAATCACCATTAAACAAAGTCACCAACAATACTAAAAATAAATGTGACGATTTGATAAGAATTCTTATTTTTCTAAGTTTTTTGGAAGTTCAGTGTGCTTGAACAATTTCTCAAAGTATACTTAGTGATGTGTGGCTTTGTTCAAAGCTGTATAACTAACAGTAAACGAGGAATGACTTAAAGGGATAGTTCACCCAAAAATTAAAAATGTCGATGGAGGGGTTGGTTAAGTTTTTGAGTCCACAAAACAATTTTGATTAATTTCAATCATTGTAATCCATTTGTACTTCCACTTTTGTCTATTCCCCAGGTCCCTGGCAAATTATGAAAATATTCAAATAGGCTCCACTTTGACTGGTTACAACATGACACTGAAGAACAATCAGTGCGTCAATAATTATAATCCAATAATATACATTATTCTGCAAGGTTTTTTATTTATTTTATTTATTTTTTGAACTTTAATTATATTTTGATGCGTTTCCTGGATTTCTTGAATTCTATATAATTTATCTACATCATAGTGCAGGTCAGATCTATGATTAAGAAAAAAAAACAACACAAGACTCATTATGCACAGAGGACATAATTATCCTAAGAGAACGTGAGCTTTGAGAAAGTGATGACCTCAACTGAAAAATGTCTTGTTTTGTTTCCTGTTGTCTCCAGAATGACACTAAACCAGTGAAGATGATGTGCCAGAAGAGTGAATTCACTTTCACCTCCATTCCTGAGATCAACTGCCAGGTGATGTCCATGGTTCTCAGTGTGCGATTGTCAGTGTTCACAGGTTTCAGTGAAACAAACTACTGATAAACTACTGATGATCTACAAGGATTACAATGAGTTTCGCTTGAGGTAAAAGGGGTAGAATGGTAAAGGTAAAGTGCTGTGTGTGTACTGAAAGTAGTTGTGTGAGTTTGGGCGGGAGGATACAGGATATATATAACATAATTAATATCACATTGAGAAGGCATATTGAAATAGATATAATGCATTTTAAGTACCTAATCAGAAAGATTGTTTGCATGTGTGTAAACTTGAGTGTGTGTGAAGATGTTGACTTGAAAAGACAATGAGTTTTGAGAGCTTTGGGTGATAGGAACACCAGTGCCAATGTCCCATACATAAAACTTGATTAGCAGAATGAATACATCATGTCCTGCCTCCTGCTCTATCAAGTCACCACCTCTCAACTGAATGCTCCCGACATTTTCCTTTTGATGGGACCGCGTCTGATCCAGATACTGTCCTGCTGTATTCTTCACATGTGAAAGGCAAACTCTGGAGATTGTCTGGACCCAATAGTCCAGATGTTTCCCAGATGATGCGCCTGAAAACACAGTTATAGATGATCAGATTTTATTTTAAATACCAACTTGTTTTTTCAGGATGAGGAAAACACATCTGTGAATGACGTGAAATTCAAACTGAATGTTTTTGATCAGATCTTAGAGATGCCTTATAAAGGGAAGGACCTGAGCATTCTCATCTTCCTGCCCAATGAGATTGAGGACGATACAACAGGCTTGGAGAGGGTATGACATGAATATGCACTCACTAAAAAAATGCACATTTTTAAACCAACAGCCTAATGATTTGTATTTTGTCCACCTCAGCTGGAGAAGGAACTAACCTATGAGAAATTTGTGGAGTGGACTCGTCGAGATTTAATGGGCCAAACCAAGGTCGAGGTGAGGCTGCCTCGCTTCAAGATGGAGGAGACGTACAACCTGAATGATGTCCTGAAGGGCATGGGCATGGTGGATGCTTTCGATGTCGCAAAGAGTGACTTCTCTGGTGAGACACACATTATAGTACGTTACAGGATTGTCTGTAGTATTAAGTGAAGTGTTGTCTTATATTTCAAATGCCCTCCATCCTCTGCTGACAGGCATGTCTCCAGCCAACAACGTGGTGCTGTCAAAAGTCGTCCACAAGTCTTTTGTGGAGGTAAATGAAGAGGGAACCAAAGCTGCTGCCACCTCTGCCGCCGTTTTACAGGAGCGCTCTAATATGATTCCTGCCACGTTCATCGCAGACCACCCCTTCCTCTTCTTCATCCAACACAACACCAACAAGGCGGTCCTCTTTGCCGGTCGATTCTGCTCCCCTGAGTGAACCCCCGTGCCTCTTGGCAGTATGAGGGTTACATCTAACATGTCTCAGGGGTTTTCAGGGTTGATAATTCATCCTCTGCATTACTCTAGCTATAAATCACATTCCCCATCTGTTTGACATGTAAAATCCCATCCTATATTTGCAGGCGCACAAATCTACAGGAAATCTAAAAGGAAAAGATGGCGCTGCACAGTGATCCCTCACATTAACCTCTAGGATTACAAAACAAAGTGTCTGCTGCCCAGAGTCTGTTGCCTGCATTAAATCCCAACTGAGCTATTTCACTCACATATTTCAATAAGAAAAAGGCTTCTATATGTAACTTGACCATATATCGTGAACATTAAATGAAATATTAGTAACTATCGAAACAGCTTCATGAAAGTATGCATAAAAGTAGTGAATAAAATATAATAAACACTATGTGCCATGTTTTTCCATTTTTTTCTATATTTCCTTGTGTTATAATAAAGTTGCTGCTGAGTTCCATCAGGCTAACAGTATTTCCTTGTGTTGGAGAAGGAGGCCAGTAGAGGAAGCTGCTGCCTCTGGAAATAAAGTGACTTAATCATCTGCTCTGCAAGTTGCAACAAGCCTCAAGTGAGGAGACATTATGTGATATATGACGATGATGAATACATCAAATAGTTACATTCATGTGTTTAGTGCTGAAATAATTTACATCCACAATCAAAATGGACTGTATTTATCAGCACTTCCAGAATCGGGGTTCACTATCTTGTCAGACACTGACAGACAGGATACAGGCTGGAGAAGCGAGGGGGCAAACCTCTGGTATTCTGGTTGCCACAGACAACAAACCTGAATCAGAGCAATATTTCTATTCTTGTCATTAAGTGACACGTGTGTAAGATACTGAACCTAGAGTTTCACCTGTCGGCTGTGTCAACAGTGTGCGAGTGATGTATGAATATGTGAGTGAATGGGTGAGTGGAAAAAACTGTACTGTGAGGATAAAAAGCGGAAGACAGTTTATGTGGGTGTGTCAGCACCGCCTATAAATAATGAACCTGCCTGTTCACAAAGAAGTCAGCTTGAAGTCACTGTGTGTTCCAGAGAGACTCCTGAACTCCTGCTGCTCTGTCTTGTAAGTATATACAGAGATCATAGCACCGAACTGTTTAGTTTGTACACAGTTTCTGCTCTGAGTTTACTACAGATGTATTAGATTTGGCATTATTTGTAGAATATAGTTTATATAAATAGGATTTGAAGTAATATAAATGCAATGACCTGTATGGTTTAAAGATTGAAATTTTCCGTCTGTTTTACACCATATTCCATTGAAAATATGTACATTTTACATTGAAGATGATGCTTACTTCAGTCTTAAAAGTTGACATTGTCTTAACATATCATTTATTATGTTTTTATATTAGAGACAATCCATTTAAGTCTAAATTAGCTACTTTATTTCTGGAGTTTGGCACAGCAACAGAGGGATTTATAGCTTGTTATAGATATAAAAGCATGATTTAAAATGAGTTATGTTATAATTAATGCTTTGCTTTCTTTGTAGAAACAATGGCATCATCAGCCCCTCTGTCCAAGGCCAACACCAGCTTCTGTCTGGATCTGTTCAAACAGCTGAGTGACAACGACAAGACAGCAAATCTCTTCTTCTCACCTTTTAGCATCTCCTCAGCCCTGGCTATGGTGATGCTGGGGGCCAGAGGCAACACACAGACACAGATGTTAGAGGTACAACATGCAGACACATGCACACTTATATTTGGTCCAGTTTGAATTTCTGATGTTTGTCATCTGACATTTCTGAAAGGTGTCCCGCTTCTTGTAATCACTACAAACTGCAGCTTCAGACACTCACTGAGACAATTCTGCATAGGTGGCTATTATGTGCACAACTCCACTTCTGGCTACCTGGAAGTCACTCTCAAACTTTAGTCACTTAATGGATCACAGATTTTACACATTTAATTATTTAATTAGGAAGTAGAAAAAGGGATTCTCAGGGAAAAAAACTTTTTAAAGCTTAATTTATGTCTATTAAATAATTTAGCATGTACAGTGATATTCTTCATTTGATTCACAATAAAATCATGTGAGGGTGCCCGGCCAGCAACAACCAGTACAATGAGACATTCAGTGGAGGTAACTGATATGTAGGCTACATAGAGGTCACAACATTGTGTGAAACAAGATGTGAAAACAAGGACGTGGGAGTGAGGGTGTGTCAGTGTGCAGGTCCATGGGGGTTTTCATTTCCTTGTTGGGCACAATAGAAAATTACTGCAGGTTCATTGACACAAAATTTTGACATGTGTTARTTTTCTGAGGCAATAATCCTGCCAGGGCAATCATGTGTTGCAGTAATAAAACTGTGTGTGCATTCTTATTGTGTAATTGCATGAGAAAAAAAAAACAGATATAATATTCTCATGTTTGTGCATGTTGCTGTGAAGATGAAAAAACAGCAGTTAGGCAATGTAATCTTGTGCATTGGCCAGCTGGCAACATCTGCTCTATAATTACTGAAGTTGTTTGATGGGAATAAGAAATTAGAGCCAGGAGTGTGGTTACCTGAGTTAATTTAATATATTTGCATATGGCTGATCYCCCTCTGGCTGTTGCAATGGAGGGTGGAGGGCCAACTAAAATGTCAAGATAGAAACTTTGATTACTGTTTTGTCAACTTWCGTTTACTAGTTGACCCTTGCAACTACTAAGATGTGAGCTCATATCCAGTGACCTGATTTATCATAATTAACAAAACCCCTGCATATGTAATTCTATCATAAATAAATCTTYCAGTACTTTMTTCTATGAGTGTTTGTTTCTGACTGGCTCAACATTTTTAAAGACCATCTCTTTGGCCAATGTTCAGTCGGGGGTCTGGCCTTGTTGCTCTGAGTTAGAAGCACTTAGTCAGAGCGTCTGCACACCCAGACACAAGCACCTCCACTCACCACCACACAGGAGGACATAGAGCCACAATAAATCCATGACTGAGGATGCCAATGTGATTRCTCTCACCAGTTTTCCAGTTAATACAATTTATCTCTGATCAGCTGTTTGAGCTGGCTCCATTTTTGATCCACCAACCCAGTCTAAATGTGTGTGGGCCCACAAAATACGACACAACCCAAACATCCCTATYCTGCGATGTTATTGTAACTTCCAYTACACGACATCTGATGTCTCACTGAACAGTGAACATTACTAATTGTACCACTAGGTCCTCGGGTTGTGTGAGGCAAAGAAGCTGCAGCCTGAAGAAGCACAGCAGCAACAGCAGCAACAGCAACAACAGCAGCAACAGCGACAACAGCAGCAGGTGAAGTTCACAGTGCCACAGCAGAAACTAACAAACATACGCTCTGTGTGGTGTCTGCTAGTCTCCAAAATTTGATGTCTTGATATGAATTTTAGAAAAAACACAGACACACAAAGCAATGTGGGGCGTAGCTAGACTGAAGGTTAAGTGTGTCTCTGAGTGGTACATAATTCAAAGGAATGTAGTCCAGGATTCTCTGTTTATAGATACTTGTTTCTGTGCTATTCAATCCTTAATAAGCAGTTGCAGGAGATCAACATTTAATACGATTGCCCCATCAAGAGGTTTCAAACTATGGCAACCAATCAAAAATGTATTGGGCAAATCAAGTACACTGGAATTAAGCCGTTTCCTTTTGTTAACACTGAATGTTGATGAAACCAAATTTAGCAAACATAGCTTTAAATATGTTGTTGATTTGGACACACACCAGGCAAAATATAGTTTCCTACATTTTTGAATGTTTATTAGACATATAGGTCATTCACTGGCTCAACTCTTCTTTGTCTGCTTCATTGACAGTGTCTGAAGACCCAGTGCTCCCAGGACGATGTCCACGCTTCCTTCAATGAACTACTGAAAGCACTGAACAAGGCGGAGGCTAAGTACTCCCTCAGTGTTGCCAACAGACTGTACGGGGATCAGTCCTACCAGTTTGTAGAGGTGAGGTGTGTGTTCATGATGGGGTGTGGTCTGGATTGAATGAAAGGCTCAGATATCCTTCAGATTCAAGTCACACAAGTCCTCAGGGGATGACGTATCCCCCCAGCACTGGCAAATTTTGAAAGAGCAGATAATTTGGTGTTAATGTTCCCCTCTGTGATAAACAACAGAAAATGATACATCAAATTGTCATCTCCTGAACAGCCTCTCATCATTGTTTTATACATTGTTTGTTAGTGTTCAGTGATGAGTGATCCTGTGATTCAGTGCCAGTAATAACTAGTCAACACATACATATGTATGCACTGTAGCCACAAAATGATAACAATTTCAAACACAAAATATCAAAAGGTGCCACTTCACCGTCTGATTACTGTGAAGTTCTATGAAAAACTTGAATGGATAAAGATGCATAGACATACTGATCCCTTTATCCCTGTGCACTATATGGGGTATACTGTACCGAGGTCAGGAAACAAGCAAGCAGAGTAATAATAGTGAAAATGTTTGCTGTAATGAGTCTCCACAAAGTCAAATGAAGAAAATATTTTTGTTTGTTTGTGTGAATGTGTAATATTGAAATGTGTTGTTCATGGTTCCAGTATTTCTTAGAACAAACCAGGAAGTACTACAATGCAGAGTTAGAGTCTGTTGACTTTAAAATCAATCATGAGGCTGCAAGGCTGAAGATCAACGACTGGGTGGAGAAAACCACACAAGGTGGGTCACACACATCAATCGTTTTTATCTGTTTTTATCTTTACCAGTATGTTAAAGTCTGAACTGCTGGGGCTTATTCCACCTTCTCAACACTTCTTTGGTCCTTAACATTACATTTTCAAAAGGTTTGTCATGAAAAAATGGCCTTAAAATGCTTAAATGAAACTGAACACCTTCTTACCTCATATCATGACGAGGATCTATGAATACGCTGATTTAACATTTTKACTCCACCCTCACCTGCAGCTGAGGAGCCGTTTCCAGCTACTGAGCTCCAGCCACAAGTTGACAGGATTAGTTTCTTTGGTTTGTGACAAATCCTGCCTGTCTGGATCTATTTTTTTTAAACATCGTCTTATCACCTCAAACTCACTCGACATCTTCGTCAGTGTCTTCTACATGTCTGCAGAAATTCCAAAGGCTTTCACTTGAACATTTGCATTCACACAAACAACCCCTGCAGAGAAAGTCCAGAGAAGCTCTGGAGTTCAGTGCATCTATGTAAGCAGCTTCAGATTCGCACACTGATGAAAAAGCCACCAGGGACAATTTTGGGTTCAGTGTTTTTCCGAAGGACACTTTGGCAGGTGGACTGGGGGAGCTGGGGATCAAACCACCCAGTCTACCTCATGAGCCACAGCTAGAAATGAGAAATTATACAGTAAATAACCCTGAATTTGAATCATATAAATATGATTTAACTTATTTCTACATCAGGGAAACATCTGTAAATGTTATCCTTGTTATTGAAATTTGTGCTTCAAATTCTTAGGTAAAATCAAGAATTTGCTGGCCAAGCCTCTGGTGAACAGCTTGTTATGTTTGTTCAAATGAATATAATTTACCTTATTTCTCTATTGAGGGAACACAGTGACTGAGCTTGGTATTTCTTCATCATTTCAAATGTGTCCTTCAAATTCCTAGGTAAAATTCAGGATGTGCTGGCCCAGGGTGTAGTGGACAACATGACCAGTATGGTGCTGGTAAATGCCATCTACTTTAAGGGCAACTGGGACAAGCCGTTCCAGGAGAATGACACTGAAGATGCTCAGTTCAGACTCAATAAGGTAAAACTGTACAGAGAAAATGTTCCCTCAGAGTAAAAGAGCTACTCAACAAAAGATGGTTGAAGTGATATTGTTGCTGGATATTCAGTATTGGTATTTGTGAGTTTTGTGTCAGCCCCCAAAATTATGAATGTGATGATTAATTTCCGTGAGATCAGCAGAACCAGGTTGACAAACTGAAAAAGCTACGTTTTGCCTCCTCAATATTGATGTCACAGTGTAATGTTAATGAGACTGAATTTATATGTTGTTTTTCTAGTCTTTTCAACCATTCAAAGCAGCAACCATTCACACACCCTTTCATAAAGCACTACTATGCACTTTTTCTCGCACACACCATTCACACACTGCAAGCACAGCTGTTCAGGGCAATATTGGAGTTCAGCGTCTTGCACAAGGACACTTAGGCATGTACAGTGGAGGAGCCTGGGATCAAACCACAGACCTTCTGGTTAACAGACATCCCGTTCTACCTCATGAGCCCCTCCCCTCAATCTGGTCACTAAACCCTGCTGTACACATCTACTTGACTGCAACAAGGTGACATGAATATGCTTTCAGCTGGTGTTTCTGTTTGCTGATTTCAGAATGAGACTAAGCCAGTGAAGATGATGCACCAGAATGATGATTTCCCTTTGGGCTTGATTGCTGAGATCTCCTGCCAGGTAATTAACCATTTAATGAGTCAGTTAATAATTAATCTATCAGTCTGTCAATCACCTGTTGACCAGGTAACAACTCAACTGATCATTTATCCCATGAAATATAAATGAGCAGATTATGAACAAAGCCGTGATCTATTCAGTATATATTTGTTTTATTACGGAAACACACTGTTCTTCAGGTCCTGGAGATGCCTTACAAAGGGAAGGAGCTCAGCATGTTCATCTTTCTCCCCATGGATATAGACGACAGTTCAACTGGTCTGGAGAAGGTAGGACATGCACACACATCCATCACTTCCACAGAGAAATCCACAAGACAAATTAATAATTAAGTTTGTCTACACCCCCAGCTGGAGAAGGAGCTGACCTATGAGAAGTTTGTGGAGTGGACATGTCCAGACAGGTTGACTCGCTCTGATGTGAAGGTGGGCCTGCCTCGGTTCAAGATGGAGGAGAGTTATGACATGAATGATGTCTTGGTCAGCATGGGCATGGTGGATGGCTTTGATCCAAATATGTGTGACTTCTCAGGTAGGACATGAAACAAATCAAAATCAGGAAATGTCAGGGAAAAGAATCCTGAGGTTCTATCAAATCAATGTGCATTCCTGTCATGTAGGGTGAGATCAGGTAAGTTTGTTTAATTTATTCTCTGCCTCTCTTTTCTGCAACAGGCATGTCTCCTTCCAACGACCTGGTGCTATCAAGCGTTGTCCACAAGGCTTTTGTGGATGTCAATGAGGTGGGTACCGAGGCTGCGGCAGCCACTGCTGCTATCATGATGCTGACCTGTGTACTAAGGCCTAGAGGCACCTTCATTGCAGACCATCCCTTCCTCTTCTTCATCCGACATAACCCATCCAAGTCTGTTTTGTTTGCTGGCCGCTACAGCTCCCCTGAGTGAGCACTACATTGCTGAGAAAAATACATTGTGATCATGTTAAGTGCAGGTATATGTAATTGCACTACACATATAAAATAAATACTAAAAAGAACAAGAGTTTACATGCAGTTTTAAACTAAGACCTGGTCATTTTTGTCTTTTGCTTTTACACATGAAATAAAAGTGTGTATTTACCAAATATTGTATGT